ACGTTTGCTCCTATTATTATTTGAATTTAATAATGTTTCATTTTTAATTAATATAATTGATAATATAATAAATACGTCCGTATCTAGTGACCAGAAGTCCCACCAATGGCAGTACAGTATCATTATCACATGTCTCCGTCTGAATCACTGCCACTGGTGGGAGTTCTGGTCACAGACGTATAAATAATATTATCAATTATATCTTTTATAAATGAAAAATTATCCAATTCAAATGCAAATAGGAGCAAACCTAAGTTTTTCAGGCTCCTCTTGGATATTGTCGTTTTCAGATTGGTTGCATATTTGTTAAATCTAATCTATTTAAACCTACTATTTATATACACAATTTTAGGCATATAGTTTTTCGTATAAATTTGACACAGTTTTATATAAATTTCTCGAGACAGATGAACTCTTATGGGTATAGATAAACTCCTTAAACGCTTATGTTTAAACCTATACCCTCTCTTATTTTTCCTTTACAGTCCCTTTAATACCTCCTACTTAAGATGAGATTTCTGATTAAAACTATATTAGATTTCAATCTGACGGGCAGTTTACTTTAGTTTGAAGTAAACAGTTAAATAAAATAATAATACGGCATTTAAAGTACTTCACAGAAATCCCAATGTCCATAAGGCACAATTAAAGGTTTGAAGGGGGGTGAGGGAGTGGATTAATATTTGCCTAAGAATCAAATTGTTTTAAGGCGCAACAAAGGGGAGTTTTTAAAGTTGACGGATTCACTCTTCATGAACACAATAAGAATTTCCCAATCTATCTATAAATTTGGCTTGTCTTGGTGTTTGTTTGGGCGTCTGTCTGTTTGTTTGTATCCAATAAACGTTAAAACGGCTGAACCGATCGGGCCCAAATTTTTTTGTGGGACATCTAGGGACCCCAGGGAAGGTTTATGAATGATAAAAATTAAAAAAAATGTGTTATAAAGGTTTTTAATTTTGTAAAAAATTTAAATTCTTGAAAATCCGCAAATTTAAATAGATGGGCGCGAAGCGCCCTAAAAGCCTAGAAAGAAGGGCGCGAAGCGCCTTGAATTTCTAGTTTTTTAAATTTTCGAATAGAATATTGGGTTTACAATTTTTTGTAAATTATTTGCGATAAATTCCGGAGGCTTTTAGTTTAAAGTATGTGTACGTTTACACAACTACATCTTTTAAAGGAATTGAACTATTTTTTCGGCTCGCCTTTCTCAGAGTTGTTTATATTTAAATTTGATATCTGATAACTTTTACAGAATATGTATTAAAGTTGTTATTATGATATTATATTTAATCATTATAATTGATAAAAAATTACATTAATTTCGTAAATTATATGCAAATTTTATCTTAAATCAATTATATTATCATAATCATATAAATTGTATATATATGTAGGCAAAATTTCATCAAAATTATCTTTCATGTGATTATTTTGATGAAAGGTAAAACCCAAATTTAAGAACAACTAAATAGATATTTGTATATATGAATCAATAAAGATTTAAAGATGCAAAGGCCTCTTGTTTAGTATTAAACTTAATGTTTAGGATATTGTTAACTAATGTTCCTTCAATGACTAACACGTCACAACTGAATGTTTATTATATTTTCATATTTAGTTAGTTAAATTTAAACTTAGAGTATGGATATATTTAGAGGGTTCCTTCAGAAAACTTAAGAGTATATATTAAGAGAGGTCTAGATTAAAATTAAAGTACATAGAGTAACGATACAAACAGAGGTTTCTGTTCATCCTTAGAGTATATATATAAACAGAGGTTTCTGTTCATCCTTAGAGTATATATATAAAGACAAGTTTCTGGTCATCCTTAGAGTATATGTAAACAGAGGTTTATGGTCATTCTTAGAGTATAGATATAAACAGAGGTTTCTTTTTATCCTTAGAATTTCTATATAAACAGAGGTTTCTGGTCATCCCAATAGAGGTTAAATAATAAACAGAAGGTTCTGTTCATCCTTACAGAATAGATAAAAACAGAGTTTTCTGTTCAACCTTAGAGTATAGATATAAACAGAGGTTTCTGGTCATCCTTAGAGTATGTGTATATATATATAATCCTAGATTTCTGCTCATCTTACGAGTATGGATATAAACAGAGAGGTTTCTGAGTAAAGATATTAACATTCTGGTGTAGCAAATATAGAGGCACATATATGTAAATTACGTTGAACATTGTCCATACTCCATAAAGCTAAATGTGCCCATTTGAAAATGCCTAAATCATGTATTGGGATGAACCCATTCAATGTAAGTATGTATATATAACTCCGCCTAACCCATATTGTGATTGCTTAACTAGCTTATATATAACAGCGCATAACTTGTAACTATGCTGATAAGGACCCAACACTGGACACTCTGGTATCATTGTTCCCTAGGTAAGGATGATTCAGAGATAGAAATGAGAGTGAGGATGGTTCAGAGATAGAAATGAGAGTGAGGATGGTTCAGAGAAATAAGCATGACAGAAGTATTATGAGAGGGAAACCCTCCACTTTCAGAGTTTCAAATCATAATGCAGAGATTGGAACAAGTGGAGCAAGATAAAAAAGCTTTAGTGGCAATAGTTGGACAGTGCAAAGGGAAGTAGAGGAGGTAAAAACGAAGAAAGAAAAGGAATCATATGTGCAGACATGGAAGGATAATGTACACAGATATAAATAATTCCGTCATACCCATATTGTGATTGCTTAATTACCTTATATATATAACAGTGCATAACTACGCTGCTAAGACCCAATTCATATCTAGCCTGAAGAAATATAAGTTTAGCTGATACAGAAACTCCTCTTTGATTACAGTGTTGAGAGTAGTTTGGTTTTTGTTGAAACATTTAGATCTTGTCTTGTTTGAGACATTGATCAATAGATTACTATTGTCTGGTTTACAAGGCTGCAAACGAGATCTCGCCCAGTGGCAGTGGCGTTCATAATTCATGGGATTGTAGCCATGGGTTGACGTTGACTGTCAAGAGAATTTGAGTTATACCTGGATTGATACTTGTTTGAAAAATTGTTAAGGAGCGTTTACTATACTGGTCATCCTTAGAGTATAGATATAAACAGAGTTTTCTGTTCATTCTTAGAGTATATATAAACAAAGGTTTCTCTTGATCCTTAAAGTAAATGTTTTAACAGAGGTTTCTGTTTATCCTTAGAGTATAAATATAAGCAGAGGTTTCAGTTGATTCTCAGAGTATAGATATAAGCAGAGGTTTCTGTTCATTCTTAGAGTATATATATAAGCAGAGGTTTCTGTTCATCCTTATAGAGTATATATATAAGCAGAGGTTTCTGTTCATCCTTATAGAGTATTGTTCAAAGTGTCTAGATATTTTTGATTACATAACAATTATGTAAGCATTCTTTTTAACATTCTTTTAACAATTCATACCATCAACATGTACTCTTTACTTGGTCAAGAAAATAATTTAATTCTAACGAATGCAATTTTCAGTTCAGGGTTGCATTATCTGCTTTCTACAGTTTTAATTCAATACGAGACAGTTACGCATGTTTTTTTATTTAAGTACAAATATAAGAAATAAATGTGTAAAAGATACATGTTATGGCAATTCCGATGAAACGGTTAAAAGTCCTATATTCTTCTTTCTATACTTTTTGTAAATACAAGATACATCTTGCACATTTTTATGGATTTTTTGTTAAAATATAATATAACTGCACACCAAGAGGCAGACACTCTCACGCTAAATTCGAGCAGTATTTTGACAATTACTCCTTTTAACGTAAGCTAGAAACCAGCTCATTGCATTTCTGAAATGTCTATTACCAGGGCTACAAAAAAATTAGAAAGTGAGTTGCTGAGGTAAAACAAAAACCAAGGCGTTGAAACACTTTAAAGTCGAGGCTGGCTATACTTTGATGACAAACCTTCAATGTTGTCTATTTCTCAGAGATATCTGGACTAATTTTCTTTAATATACAGTCTGGACATTTCGTATGCACACCCTCCACTGAATAGTAATGAGGAAGATATCATCGTCTTAATATCTTAAAAAGTATTAAATTCTCAAAATACTCATTATTGCTTCTGTAGCATACTAGCGCAAAAATATTCAATCTTCAGAGAAAACAATAAGAATGGAATTGTGAATCGGAACATATCTAAAAATGGAAGAACAATTGAAATTACGGCTACAATCCCTTTAACCCTATTCAGGCTGACGTCTAGTTATTAAGCAAAAAATGTTCAAAAGCAAAAAGTGTACAAAATTTAATAAACTATACATTTTTTAAAAGCCCTTACCACGGCAAATTCAAATATGCAAAAATATTTGCAAAATGTTTTAGAAACCAAATTTGTATTTAAGGAAAACTGAAAATGTGAAAATTCTTTGTAAAGACATCTGTGCAAAAAAAACTTTGCAACATTTCGTCTTGCGCAATCCAATGCTTTCTCTTGTTAAAGGCTTTCTAAAGAGCTATAAAAAGTCAAAATTCAATGACCGCAAAAATGTCTAAATAAAGATTTAGACGAGGTCCGAGGTAACAAAACTGAAGGAATTTCTCCAGTTTTGGTGACTTGCTTTGAGGAATTTCCGGGGAATTTCTCGAGAACAAGTTCTTGTGACTGATTCCTCGGAAATTCTTGAGAAATTCTCCGGAATTGGTCCCCATTTTAAGATATTTTTAAGGGGATCAGAGTTTTATAAAGTAGTTTCGAGAAATTCCTGAGATTTATTTTCTAGATTGTTTCTTAGGAAATTCCTGATAATTTCTCTGGAATATTTTTCATAAGCATATTTCCGGAAATTCCTGAGAAATTCTAAGGACTTGGTCACCAATTTTACAAATTTTTTGGGGAACTGAATCAAAGACATAGTCTCAAGAAATTCCTGAGAATTTCTCTGGATTTTTTTAATGGAGAAACTTCTGAGAACTTCTCCAAAATGTTTCTCCGGAAATTCCTGAGAAATTCTCAGGTCTTGTTCACCAATTTTACGGATTTTTTTTGGAATTGAATAAAAGACATAGTCTCGAGAAATTTCTCTGAATTTCTCTGGAATTTTTTAATGGAGAAATTCCTGAGAACTTCTCCAAAAATTCTCAGGTCTTGTTCACCAATTTTACGGATTTTTTTGGGGAATTGAATGAAAGACAAGTCTCGAGAAATTTGTCTCAGATTTCTCAGGATTTTTTCCTGGAGAAATTCCTGAGAACTTCTACAGAATATATCTCCGGAAATTCCTGAGAAATTCTCACGACTTGGTTACCAATTTTACGATTATTTTGGGGAACGGAATAAAAGACTTAGTTTCGAGAATTTCTCTGGAAGTTTTCTCAAGAAATTCCTAAGAATTTCTCAGAATATTTCTCCGGAAATACCTGAGAAATTCTCAGGACTTCATTACAGAGTTTTCAAGGTCCGTTTTTCTCCGATAGGTATCTCTGAGGTTCTCTTCTATTATGCACTGTTTTAACTAAATCTTTTTTTCTTTGCAACCTTATTAATAAAAAATGATAATTTACTTTAGAACCATCTTTTAAAAAAAATATTTTTAAAAATTTGTAAAATTTTTCTTTACAATTCAGTTGTCTGTTGTTAAGTTATTCACTACTATTGGGTCTAAATCCTGACTCTTGGTTAGTAAATTTACTCAGGAATATGCTGAGAATATGTCAAGATATTCCTGAGGAACTCTTGGGAAAATCTTGGGAATAGTTCCCAGGAAATTCCCAGGAATTGGTTCTGAAAACTTCCATGTTTTACCGAGTTCCCCAATTATGAGTTATGATCAGATGTACAAACACAAACAATCTAAACAGAGACTACTTTTTTCATAAACATAGATGTATTGGGCATACATTCGTTCAGCCATTCTTAAAATTGCATAATATTTAGCTTTTTTCAAAAAATAGAATTTTCCTTTAAGCTGGGTAAACTTGTATCTTGTTAGATCATGTTTTAATTTACAAATTTAAAATACATATGTCACTTTAGTGGGAAAATATGAGGGAGGAGGGGAGGACTCAACAGTTGTTGACAATGATCGTTCATATGTTCATTTAAACTATTTTATTCACTGTCAGTTGTGAGTTTACGTCTGAACTTTTAGGAATAATAAGAAAGTGATACATTTTTTTTAATTTTGTAAAAAATCGTCTTTGATTGTAAAAACAAATGTTTTAATCTTTTTATACAGTAAAACTATGCAAACAAATACAGAATAATAATATAATTAGACTCAAGTTTTGATTTTAAATGCTCAAATGAAGGTTAAGCACAACAATTCCAAAGGGTAAGCAGTCCAATTCCACAGTTGCTCCTGTCTGCCGAGTCCCCTGGCACTTCATCCAATCAGGGTTCAGTCATTTGTTTGTTGTCTACTCTGAACCAATAGAAATAATATTGGCGGTAACATCTATCTTTCTATCTATCACATTATCCAATAAGAGTTATGAACCCTTCAAAACGGCGCTAACAGTAAATGGAAATATTTACTTCTACTGAAGCTATTGTAATTGGATAGGGTCCCGATCTGAAGTTACACAGTCTACTAATTTTGTTTAGTATAGAATGTAAGATTATTTGATAATTAATTGATCAATTTATTAGATTAATTGATTTGATAATTGATCAATTTAATAATTGATCAGCTTTACAATTATCAATTACACAATTAATATACATTGCTTTAAACCTTGAAAACTCAATATTAGGTGATTTTTAAATTGAACTGAACATTTCTGATGGATAATGTTCGAGGTTAACTGTTAGACGTTTTTCCGTTTTTATATTAGAAGAGTGATGAAAAATTTACACTAAGATATCACAACTTGAAAGTTAATCTTATAATGATTACAAAAGCACCTCTGGACAGCCTTTAGAAGGTTATTATGGTGAAAGTAATATATACAGGGCTACCCGCAATAAATCAGATTTCAAATTCGACTTACAAGGGCTGTTATCGTAATTTCAAGTGGCCTTCTATTGAAAAAGTGACAAGGATGGCAAGTGACAAGTTTTCCCTAAACAAGCCTTAACTTACTGGACGATACTAGGAATGATAAAAATTAGGCCAAGAAAAATCCTTTTATGCTAACGAGTTATATTTATAAATGTTTACACGTCTCATTCTTTGTGGTTAACTCAATCAGGTTGGAAAGATGTAGGGGTTAGAAAATCAAGATTGTGGCAAGGAATCAATTTCTTTAAAATTAGTTATTATTTTTTTCTGTTTTCTTTCTATATTAATTTTTCTAAAATTCTGTGAACTTAAAAAAATCAGGGTTATCCACAAAGGATGAGATTTCAGGGACGACAAAAGGAAATTTGCTTTCGTCCCTTTTTGACATTCAGGGTTCCTTCACGGCCAAAACTGGCATTTTTCTGCGCTAAATCAATTATAATTAAAACATTATCATACTATAAAATGCAATGAAGAAGCAAACAACCAAGCTTCAAATCGTCTTATTTTTAGAATTCTGTATTTACAGTCTCATCCTTTGTAGGCAACCCTGTACAGTACATTACAGTACAGTAAAGTACAGTACAGTACAGTACAGTACAGTACAGTCTCATCCTTTGTAGGCAACCCTGTTTGTATCCAATAA